AATGACTCCATCTGTTGGGGGAGGAATAATTTAGTAATTCTTAACAAGGAAAACAAATCAGTGACTGGATAAGTTATAAAAAGAATGATAACAGTTGCTCATTATAGTTTTTGGAGAGGGGAAAAAGGCTAGAAGCTTTTATGATATTCATTCAGTCCGTCAGTCTCTCTCTCTAACTCACTCACTCACCCTCTCTCTCTAACTCACTCACTCACTCTCCCTCTCTCTCTAATTCACTTACTCACTCACTCTCTCTCTCTCTAACTCACTCACTCACTCTCCCTCTCTCTCTAATTCACTTACTCACTCACTCACTCACTCACTCTCTCTCTCTAACTCGCTCACTCCCTCCCTCACTCACCCTCTCACTCGAACTCATTCTCTCACTCTCACTCTCTCTCTCTCTTTCTCACTCACTCTTTCTCTCTCTCTAACTCACTCACTCTCTCTACCTCTAGCACACACTCCCTCTAGCACGCACGCACGCACACACACACACTCGCTCACACTCACTCACTCACTCACTCTCTCTCTCTCACTGTGTAACAAAGAAACACAATAAGCTTTATAATCTAAAATAATTCTCTCCTCTTCATCCTACTCTTTTCACCATATTTAAGTCAACACTACTTTTCCGACTCACATTTTCATCTTTTACTTCTTTACATTTTCAAATATATTTGCACCTCCCATTGCAATTTTATTCTTGTATCCCACTTACATTTTATATATATATATATATATATATATATATATATATATATATATATATATATATATATATATATATATATATATATATATATATATATATATATATATATATATATATATATATATATATATATATATATATATATATATATATATATATATATATATATATATATATATATATATATATATATATATATATATATATATATATATATATATATATATATATATATATATATATATATATATATATATATATATATATATATATATATATATATATATATATATATATATATATATATATATATATATATATATATATATATATATATATATATATATATATATATATATATATATATATATATATATATATATATATATATATATATATATATATATATATATATATATATATATATATATATATATATATATATATATATATATATATATATATATATATATATATATATATATATATATATATATATATATATATATATATATATATATATATATATATATATATATATATATATATATATATATATATATATATATATATATATATATATATATATATATATATATATATATATATATATATATATATATATATATATATATATATATATATATATATATATATATATATATATATATATATATATATATATATATATATATATATATATATATATATATATATATATATATATATATATATATATATATATATATATATATATATATATATATATATATATATATATATATATATATATATATATATATATATATATATATATATATATATATATATATATATATATATATATATATATATATATATATATATATATATATATATATATATATATATATATATATATATATATATATATATATATATATATATATATATATATATATATATATATATATATATATATATATATATATATATATATATATATATATATATATATATATATATATATATATATATATATATATATATATATATATATATATATATATATATATATATATATATATATATAT